AGACATTCCATAGCAAAACAATATAGTGGTTCAGCTAGTATTGCATAAAAGCGAAGACAACATATCAAGAAGAATGGCAACTCTTCCATTTTCTCAAACGGCCGGCATGAGACAGGCACAATCGCGTCATCTGCTGCTCAAAGGTAAATGCTCCGAACGAGGTGGATTTGCTAATTTTTCTATGCGTTGTTTCCACCTTCACGCAAGCACAGCGCTTCGTCTGTCGCTCGGATTCAGACAAAGTTGCCAGTCTTCTGGAGATGTTGTCTTCGATAAAAGGCTTGTTGTTTATTTGGGGAGGGTTCTTAATCCGGTAAGACAAGAGGCATATTTTATGTTGCATTCAATTCAATTTAATTCAATTACAAAGCTTTCTATGCTGGTAACCCTATCTGTCGTGTGTCCCAGAGAGATGATGGATTGATATACATTCAACAGTGGACAACAATGTTGGTGGACGACAATGTTGGTGAGATAGGGTGGTGATGTAACAAGGGCAAACACTTCGAAGCATAAGACAGCGATCTAAGATGAACTATGAGGATATATTGAGATGGTTAAAAAAGAGAGAATAATACAGACATCCTGTAGAGTTTCAAGGGTAACAATATAATTTAAGCATACACCATTTTTCAAGACACAAAAATGAATTTATAAAGGATTTCAAAATAGATTAAAATTCTGAGGTTTTATTTTATTTTTAACTAGATTTAAGAAGTTTTATTTTGCATTCAATATTTAGTACATGGGAAAATTTCCAAGATTCAAAACTAATAGAAATATTCTACATGCCGAACTACGATATGTTTTTAACAGTGGCGTCCCCTTTACCTCAATCTACCTGTGCACCAACTCTCAAAACAAAAACAATTATCAAAATATTGCTTGCAATGGATAGATATCGAGTAAACTAGAAGATTAGGTGTTTTTTTTTCAACCGATTCGAGTATGAATATGGCACTAAATCTAGTTTTGAAAGTTTGTTTACAGGTGAAAAGTGAGGTTACGCGACGCCACTGGTTCTTAAGATTACAAATATGAAATGAATTAAATGTCTGAGACTTTTTTTTTTTTAAATTCTGACACTTAAAACAATGAAGATCTCGAACTTATAATTGGTATTCTAAAGTTTGAATTTCTTTGAGATCTTATAGGGGAAATTGATGTAATGTCGGCCTACATGTCCCTAATTTGGGCCCATACATAAATTCAGCAATCGACTAAATTTTAAATTGCGACCAACAATATTCATTTTAGTACCGTCCCAATGACGCGTTCATCTAGATAAAATTGGTATATAACAGATTTTTAGTGATGGGCCCAATCTTAGATCCATAGGCCAACATTAGAGCCATTTCCCCTACATAGTAAAATTAAATAATAAACCTCAACTAATGGTTTTGATTGAAAAATTTTACACCTTAAAACTGATTGTCATGTCTTAAAAACGTTTGTGGCTTTTTTTTCTAAAAGAGCATATTTTTAAACACGGCGAATGAGAACGACCCAAATTTGAGTTTAGTTCACTCATAATCGCCAAAAGTGCAGGAACTCAGCGATGAGTAAATTTGTCTCATGGTTTCCTGTGGAAAACCTAAAAAATCTGCCGGAAAATGAGGAAATTGACGAAAATTTTATTCAGTCTCGGAGTAGTACCAATAGACTGGGTGAATCCAATCTTTACTTTTCTCAAATTCGGGAATTTTTTCCTGGAACAACCTGGGAAAACATGAGGCAAATTTACTCATCGCTGAGTTCCTGCACTTTATGTGATTTATGAGTTGACTAAATTCAAATTTGGGTCGTTCTCATTGGCCGTGAATGCATTTAAAACAGCTTCTGGTAAGTTCCGGAAAAAAAACCTGGAGAACTCAGCTAATTTTATTTACCAAAATGAGTAGACAGCCTGCCATATTTTGGCCACCGATGACCCACTACGCCATCGTGCGGGAAATGGTAATCTATGCTGGAGAGAAATACCGATACGCGATCTACCTTACCCAAGTGAGATAACAAGTCTTTGTTGAGGTTGCTTTTTAAATGCACATAACAACCCGAAATAAACGGTGCCGCATACACACACGCATGTACAGATGGGGCTACTCATCACAAAGGTTATGGATTTATTTATTTATTTTTTTCATTGATTGAATCAATCGGTAAACTATTTCTCTCTACCCACCACACTCATTCAATCACTCGCTTCCGGAAGGCCGCATTTTTCCCATCACATCAGCTGAGCGAGCATCGACAAAGAGATTCTGGCACAGATTTGTCACTCACTGTGTTATTGTTTGTATACAAATAGCAGAGAAAACAGCAACAACAAAAAAAACTACGACGACGACGACGACGTTCACTCAACTGTCAAAACGGTGCCAACTTTTTATGGAATGTTCTCATTGATGACTGATTGATACCTTTTATGTATGCTCCGGGGTGGCACACATGCAATGTCATAGAGAACAGGTCCGGAAGTGACAATTTGTCGTCTCTTTCATTCTCTAGCTATTTCTTATGACACGACGATTGTGACGTCGAACTCTTCGTTACATAAGCACAGTGAATAAATGAGACGACAAATTATCATTGCCGGACCTGTTCGCTGTGACATTGGTACACATGTAGCGAGTTTTGTTTGATACTATCGGAGATAAAGCCGTGGGAAAGATTAATCGATCTGCGCACCGAGTTTTGGCCTTCTGCAATTAAATCATATCAATTATAGGAAGCGATTTTTAGACTCTGTTGTATTTGGTGCTTTGTGTCGTCTGAAGCAGCAGTATACCTCTACGTTATCAGTGTTTTGCTTTGAAGAGTATTTTTATGAATCTATAAATCGAATTTTGCTCTGTGTCACCGGTGAAGATTACAATGCTTTCTTAAAAGTGGATTTTGTCTGTACTGTTAATTCAATATTTTCCTTCTGATTGGTTGATTCTTTTTATTCGGGTCAAAATCACAGCGCGACCAACACAATGATCATTTTCATGCCCTTTGTTGAGTGCATGGCGTAGTACCTCATTACTACGGAAAATTCATGACATTTTCGTTGTCGATACAGTTATCATTCATACTTCTTCTTCCCACAAGAAGCATTCATTCAATCTGGGAAGATATGGGGCCTCTCATCAATCTAAATAGGAGTCCTAACGGACAATAACAGTGCTATTGCATCAAATCTTAAATTTTCCCCCTAAAATTCTCCTCAAAACTCATTTTAGTGTCTCAAAAAGTTCTCCAGATCGATAGGATTGGTGGTTTACGAGTATAGACTTTGATTTACGAGTAATTTGTGAAAGAAGCCATTGTTTACATCCTCACGAAAACTCACTAGAGAATAGATAAATGTTAGTATCTCACTCTCTATGAAACCTAAGTATACCGAAAGATTCACGGTTCGGAGGGTTCTATAGCAGAACTAATAAATTCTAAATAGGCATTACAGGAAGTGTGTTAGTTAAAATAAGTTGTTGTCATAGTGATCACATCTTATAAGCAACCTAGGTGTTATAAAACGATCTACAACGCGATTGTATATAATTCAAAAGCCATAGCAAAACAATGGCTTCCCATTTTCCACATTCCAACGTTGCGCCGATTGTTCAGTACGATGGTAAAGCCAAATATAATTTAGTCACCAAATTTTATTATTCGCACCCCACAAACGGAGCGAGCTGCGGTTCCATCCAACCTCGTGCCGCTTATTTTGGGCAGTTCAACCACAACACAGAAGATATGAGCGCGAAAAGAATCACATCGAGCGACTGCACAGTCAAAAAAGCAAAACTGCTTAACGCTATCTGTGGGCTGTGAAAACGATTATGATAGTAATCACGCGCGTGGGTGGTTCTCAACCTGCACGATCAGACTGGGGTCCGCCGTCGTCGACCGTCATGGTCGTCATCAACGTGTGCAATATGGTTCTACATTTTGTCATCTATACTGATGCTACTGACGACAAAAATGGCCAACCAACGGAGTGTTTGGCGCTCGACTACGCGTTGGTATGGTATGGTCCACTAACAGTTTAGGTAACGGACGGGGATGGGTGTCTGATGATCTGACTGAGATCATCAATCGCGCAGAGGAGTCTCCGAATCTGACGATGAGCCCTGCCCCGTTAGCGAGAGTGTGCGCGCAAGGTGCATCAGATTACCCTCACCGCGATGTTTACTTTGTGAAAAACGGCTCTCTCTCGCTGTGGCTGTGCCGCGTCTCTTCTCAGCGTAGATCTAGATGGCCAGATAAATATACGTTGAGCAGAGTGCAAGCGTGAAAATGAAAACAAAGCATGCGATGAGTCCGGGGGGTTTGTGTGCTTTTTTGAGGTGATGATGCCTTTTACTACAGTCAACTCTCCCTAGCTCGATGTTGAAGGGGACCGAGAGAAAAGTGGTCGAAGTAGCCTAGATTTTCATCGAGTTAGGTCGAGATCGACTAAGGAAGAGTTGACTGTATGCGCTACACTACCGCTGTCGGTGGCAATGATGACGATGATAGTTATGATAATGACAGTGAAGGTCGTGATATGAAAAGGGTTTGCACATCACTCAGACCAAGTTCTACGTTTCATACGATAAGAATCAAAGTATTAAGGCTCTGAACCATTTGGTGGATTATTTTAACTTTTGGTTAAAATTTGACAGATGAAAAGTTATCGATTAACCCTGTTATCCAAGCGTGGTTACTTCTGACAGACAAGAAGTTAAATTTTGACGACCGTGGCTCAAAAACCGGTCGATCGACAGAACGGGGATTTTCGAACATAAGAAATAACTTTCGAAATGTCACTTTTAACCACGAGTTAAATTTAACTCGGCAAATGGTTCACAGCCTAAGTATCAAGCGACGACTAAAAGTCGGTGTCTGTGTGCTGATTGGCGACGATAACGATGAGTGTTGATTGATAATGGGTTCAGTTAGATTGATAAGTGAGTTTCGAAATGTAGGATAAAAATGCGAATCTAATTAAATTGTCGTTTCTCTGTTCATTTCAGCTTCCTGAAAAATGCCTCCACCGCCACCGCCGCCGGGGCCACCCCCGCCACCGGGTCCACCGCCGCCGCCGGCGATGAAACTTGGTGGCGGACAAGGCTCGGGCGATGGACGGAATGCGCTGCTGTTGTCGATCCAGAAAGGTGCCAAACTGAAGAAAACGATAACCGTGGACAAAAGTGGCCCCGTGATTCAGGGAAAGGTCAGCGGAGGAGAATCAGCAGCTGTCGGAAATAGTACTAATAATAATAGGGGACCAGCGTCCGCCGTGGTGTCGGGTGCAAGTGATAGCAACGGAGGTCAAAAGTTAGGCGGAATCTTTGGTGGTCTTTCATCAATGCCGAAGCTGAAACCGGTCGGCAGTAGAGGTGAGTCATTATTTATTGAAGATACGTTCTTTGCTTATAAGGAAGTGAATTGTGTGGGAGTGTCTTACGTGGTACTGGCGCTATATGGTTGCAGGCGCTACTCGCAAGTTCAAGGCGGTGATTCATTGTTTTATGCGACAACTCGTGCGAGTTATATTGTGACGTAAGGAGACAAACACAGAAGGATCGAGACAGTTGTTTTTCGTGTCAAGAAATTTGACTAGACCAGGAGACTTTAGACCGTTTCCTTGAACAATATACCCGGCTTTAAGGTGGCCTAAAAAGATTAAGAACATTCTCTTCTAGGCTAATTTACGCTTCTATTCCAAGCGATTTGCCGGCTCTCAACTAAGTGGTCCAGATGCACTTCCACAGCTTTTAATTGAGAGCTTTTGATGCCAACCAATGTATAGAATTGTATATTGTGTGGCAAGCACCATGATACTCTATTAGAGTGATGCAAAATTTGAAATTTTCGCTCCACAATACTTAAACGATTCCAAATAGGATCCTGACTAACCTCTCAAAATTAGAACCCATTTGGTGAGAAACTGAGATGGCACAAACCATTTGAAGTTTGTATGGGAATTACTATGGTTAAACCAAGATTTTTGTTCATGCCTGTCTAATAATTCACCATATCGGTCTACTTCAAAAACTTTCAACTGTACTTGTAGGAAATTTTCCCAGCTACAACTTTTCTGAAGACCATTTTTTGATTAAATGCAAGGATCGAAAGTTATCAATGGTTCAATGCGCTGATGTCTTATGATAATGCTCAATCAACTGCTCAGCAGGCAACATTGGTGTTTCTGGGGCGTTTAATAGGACACAAAAATCATGGCTACTATGTCACACTGCAAAATACAGTGTTGCCTACAGAGCAGCTGCTTGATCATGTCATAAGTTTACCAATCTCTTAAATAATTAATAACTTTTTCCTGTCTCGTTTTACATAGAAACAATCTTCAGCAAAGTTGTAACTGAGAAAATTTTCTATAAGAATGGCTATCGAACTGTTTCGCAGCTCAATATGGAAAAAGACTAGAAGGCAATGAACAAAAAGTTGAGATTTCCCATACTAATTTACATGCAAACTTCAAATGGCTTGTGCGAAGTCTGTTTCTAACCAAATGAGTTGTAACTTTAGGAGGCTAATCAGGACCCGATTTGAAACCATTTAAGCACCGTGGAGCGAAAAAGTCAAATTTTGCATCAGTCTAATACTCTATGCCCAGAGAAGTTGAGAAACTATCCAACCTGAAAGATTTCCTCGACCAAAATGAGAATTGAACCCGCGCCTCCGGCTTGGTAATACCGGGCCTTCACTGACTAGGCTATCTGAGGCCCTTACTGAAGAACAGGTATAAACGATAACAGACTGAAAAATGTATCGGTTCACTACCCTAGTGGATTTCAAAGATGCTCAACGAAATTCAGAGAGCACAGAGATAATAAATATATAGTTTACACTCTAAAACTCAATATTGAAGAGACCATGGAGTTATAGAATAACAATTCCACAACAAATCACCATCACAGAAGCCATGAAATTCATTTTTACTATTGTTCTATAACACATTATCGAATTAGTGGACATCGAGTTGTGCAGAGCTGACTGTAGCTTAAGAAATCTCAAAAAGACTTACTTGATGTGATGTGATGTGAATGAACCCACCATCAGTGCAAGGATGACCAATGTCTGCAGATACTTTACCGGTTGTAAAGTTCTGCTTGATGGTTTATTGCAGCAGGGTGAATCAGCTTCATTGAAGACCTTTGGAAGACAAACGACCAGATGGTTGTTAACACGTAACAAGGGACTCGTCCAGTCAACAAATCCTTTGATTCCCTTAGACTGCACCCCCCCCAATCCAGTATATAATATAATGTTTTAAAATATATGATTTACAGTTCCACCAGATACTCAAAAATGGGCAGACAATCCATTTGGCGTTCAAAGATGATTTCAAAGACACAAAAAATGGGATGGGAAGAATTTTTCAAATTTAAGAGAATCATAATAGATAAAATCAGATACGATCTCACCAAGTTAGTCCAAATGAATCCATGCATCCGTGCTATTGTTGCATTGTAGTTTCAATCAAAGACGGTTCGCTTGATGGGGATCAACATAAACTAGTCCTATGTAGAACCTGTTTGAAGTGTCCAAATGTAGTGATCCTCCGACTTGTGATAAAAGATAATCGGCTGTAGTTGCTGGCTGGATTCGAGTGTAGGTAGCCAAGTATCAGGTCCAGCAACTTGCAATTTCTTGACGCGAATACGACGAACAATGGAATATCTTGGTTCCAATAAAGGTTTCGAAAACGTATGTCAGCGAAAAATAGCAGCCCTTGGAGGATGGGATGCAGTTCTCGCAGGGCTTCTTTTGCATAGATGGTCAGATTCCTTTTGAAATGGATAATCGCGTTCTTGATCTCAAAAAGACTTACTTGATGTTTAGAAATTTCCGGAAGGCGTTTAAAGGAGCCTCAGTGACCCTTTGAGTAAGTTTAGAGAAGATCAAATGAACCACAAAGTAGTTAAGATTTCTTCAAACAAGTTTAGAGATCTTTCAATAAGTTTAGGAAACCTTGATACTACTCTCGAAACCTTTAAAAATATTAGGAGACCTCATAGAAAGTCGTGTAGAAATTCCAGGAAATTTAGGGCACTTAAGAGTTGTTCAGAGAACTTAAAAAATAAAAGCTTTGAAAACATAAAAGTACATGGTCGTTCAGACCGACTCGAAATTGAGTCGAGTCGACGCAATTTCGGCAAAAGTGGATTTACTCCAAAGTGAGTTGAATTTTCCTTTTAAAAGCCATGGAAAACCAGGCAAAACTTCTCGAATATGAAGAAAATCCATAAAACTTTTACTCAGTCTGAAAGTATACTAATGTACTGTGTGAAACCTCTATCGATTTTTTGATATTCGTAAATTTTTTCCTGGAAAAGCTCGGAATATTCAACTCACTTTTGCCGAAATTGAGTCGACTCGACTCAATTTCGAGTCGGTCTGAACGACCGTGTACTTTTATGTTTTCAAAGCTTTTATTTTGTTTAAGTTCTCTGAACAACTCTTAAGTACTCTGAATTTTTCTGAGGTTCCCTAATTTTTCTGGAATTTCCACGACTTTCTCTGAGGTCTAATCTTCTGAACGATCGTGTGGATCTGGAAACCTATACGAATCCTAAGGACCTATAAACGGGCACTTCGGAAAAGTTCGTGGTTTCTGAAATCTTGGCTGCTGGTTGATTGAATATGCAAGATGAGGGTGGCCTTCCAATTTGTCACTTATACCCCATTGCATTTTTTTACTTTATTAGAGAGATTTTTAGCCGTTTGCTGGTTTATCTCTAAGCCCCATTGCTATTATAAAACTGCCAGGAACGTTTCCTATGACTTTACGCTCCCGACTAACAAATCTACAAACTCCTGTGACACTCTAGGAGCCATGGTACTGACATCATCCGGTCTCTCAAAACAGTGATTGGCTGTACAACTAAATGCCCACCCTTTAAAGGTGAATGATTCATACGGCGTGCAATCTATCCCGTCTCGTGGTTTTCCGTGCTCTGCCCAGCTGCTCACTCGTGCAAACACATGTGCGTTCCTTATGATCCAACCGTTTTGCTACAACTTCTATAAACAAACAAATCGAAACTGATAAGAACGTTCTGCATTTCATTCTTGCTCTACCCTAGGAACAATACCAGCACAATCAACAACTAATAATAAGTCTCCCTCACCGGAGAATACGATCAAAAGCAACAACCGGATAGGAGGAGGGGGTGGTGGGGGTGCTGTGATCGACTTTCAGGGCGAGCTGGCGGCCAAATTGACGCTCAAGAAGCAAAAGAACAGTAGCAATAGTACCAACAATGCCATCGTAAACAATAACAACAACAACAGTATCAACCAGGTGCCGGTGACGGAGAGCAATCTGCGGACGAATCGAGGACCCCCACCGCAACCCCCCCTGCAGTTGAAGGTGTGTATTTACTTTATTTGATATGTCAGATCGGTGATAAATGCTGTTTCATTTGATTTTTTTTAGAACGCCAATGATTCATCGAGCAACACCCTGGGGAAGTCGAGCTATTCCAGTCAAAAAAGGTACGGTTTCCGCTCTTTGTACGCATGATAACCCTACACTATCTCAGCTATTAGTAATAGGCGGGTTTCCCTGCTCTACCGTGTGTTGTGTTACGTAATTTGCGTGATTTTAGCTTGCTCGGCATTTGATAGAATAGGTAGAATCGTATTTATCTGGAGTGATAAGTGGAGTCCTTTTTTAAGTAGCTTGCAATCTACCCTAGATTGTGTTGTGTTGTTTTACAGAAGAGATGCGTACAATGGAGGCGATCACAGTTATGTGACTTTTTGACATCATTCCAAACACTACCTGTCCCAAACATCATAACCCCGAACGCCCATCACCGGAAGTAATCGTTGCATAGCATTGAATTGAAGCAATGTTAATTTAGCTTTACCAGATTTGACGTAATTACAGAAAAAAAAAACAATTTCTTATAGGTACCTGCTGAAAGAAATGGTTGTAGGTATTCGGCAAAACTAAATCATTGGGATTTGGCAAATATGTAGGTGAAGAAATCCTTCAGAAAATCATTCCAAACATGTTGAAGACCTGGAGAAAGGATCTACTTAAAGAATAATGGAAATTGATTCCAGTTTTCCCCTATATTTCCCAGAAGGTTTCTGCACTTTATTGTAGTACAGTCAATTCTCTATATTGTGATATAGAACTTTTACTCAGTTCTATATCTCGCAGTGCAATGGTATTTCCAATTTCGAGATATGGATATATTGTCAACAATTTCGTTGTGTTCTAGAGCAGTGGTGCTCAGGCCTATTTTTTTCAATAGCTGTGTCTTTGTTCGATGGTCATATTTAAAGTTGAATTTTGCTGTATTTCCCCAGTTGTGAAAACGCGCTTGTTTGCTCTAGTTTGGTGCGAAATGCGTAATAATTCTCACGTATCATCAAATAAGGAATAGCGATCACAGGAAGTTCGCTATGCCCCTTCTCACCTTATGGCTAGACGAAGTATTTAAACGCCCCAAAGTTTCATTGGAATCTGAGAGGGTGCTTCGTCTTATGCTTAGCTTTTCACACGTTTTTAAATAAACAAAACGTCATCCCCTACCCCCACGTGTGACGTACATAATGGATCATCCCGGTGTATTACAAAGACCCGTAACGTCTCTCAAGTTGACTGGCTTTTGAAGCGGTGCATTTAGCAACGTGAAGAGCTGCAGTGTAGAAATAATATAGGTCTTAGTTAGCCATGAGCTATTTGAATAAAATTCGTTCTTTCGTCGTCGCTCTAACGGACCTGACGCTATTTTACTTTGCTCCATTCCTCCCAAGAGCTTTTAACAGAGTGAAAACTAAATACACCTTTACTATTTGGTGGTTGACAAAGGAATGAAAGTTTTATTTTCTAGACTTGATACTATAGTATATTCATAGATTGCAGTGATCAATTGTACTTCTAACATCCCGCCTCAATTGATTAATCCCAGCATTATCCGCAGTTTTGCAAATCTAGGGGCCGGAAGTCCTTTTGTCATTATGTCCGCTAATTGATTCTCGGTTGGTTGGTACTGTAGCTTGATCTGCTTTTGTTGAATGAGGTCTCGTAAGAAAAAGTACTGAATGTCGATATGCTTCCTTGGTTCTTCGCAGATAGCAATACACGGTTGGTTGTCCGCATATACCGGTAAGGCAATTGCTACATTAAGCATCTTCAATAGATTCACCACCCACATCGCCTCGCAGCTAGCTTGACAAAGAGCCATGAATTCCGCCCCAGTTGTTGACAATGTCACCGATGTCTGCTTCCTGGTTGCCCACGAGATCGCCCACATACACAGAAAGTATTTCCGATTCTATTGACCGCCGGAAAACAAACCTGTAGTCAACGGTAGCTTGCAGGTACATCAAACTCCGCATCAGGTGTGCCCAATGCTCGTCAGTGGCACTGCACTGGAAACTCGCAAAATAACTTACCGCCGCGCAGATATCAGGTCTAGATGTAATCATTAGATACATTAAGAACCCAATCAGCTCCTTGTACGGCTTCTTCGTGAACCGTGTCGCATCTTCACACTTGAGCAGCTTCAGATGAGGGTCCATGGGAATAGCAGAAGGCCGACAATATGCCATATCAAAACGTTGTACAATCTTCTTCGCGTAGTAGTTCTGGTCGATTGTCATAACGCCACCCGCTCTATCCCGGTTGATGTTTAGTCCAAGAAAACACCGTACCTTGTCCAGGTTTCTTCATCTCGAATTCTCTTGATAACTTTTTCTTTAGGCGTTTTAGCTTTGTCCGTAAGACCTTCAAACCAGCTATTGGTCATCGATAATGAAGAACGGAAAACATTCTGCAGATTATCTAGAGTTAATCCATAAAATCAATGAAGTTACCCTTAAGTTCATTAATACGACCTAATCGCTTAACCCGAAGGGCACTTGCAGTTTGTTCATATTATATATCATTCATTGATTACTACACAACGCCTCTGGCGTGATCAATATGGCTTATATACTCAATCTTCTGTGTCTCTAGAGCTTAGACGTAAGGCTTTTGAACTTTCCCCAGAGTTGACGTATTAGTTATCTAAACTCGAGCTCGATTCTAGAGGCCTCCTTGGTTATCATATAAGCTATTGTACCTACGTTAAACCGTAAGATATCATGACATAAAAAAATTCTAGTTTTAGTTCGTAAGGTGTGTGACGCTGTAAGGACCCTTGGAGTTTCTTCATCCTTAACATATTTACCTGAGAGTCCATTGCTCCTAACAGAAGTCGTCAGTTTCTTTATATAACTTGTAATATTAGCACATTAGCAGAATTTGACCCATAAGATCTCTAGACTTAGACGGCAAGGTCTCTAGAGTAGACGCGTAAGGCCTTTGAACAGTACGTGTGTGGCCTCCGTAGCTAGTACATAAGGTCATTGAAATTAATCCATAAAACTGCTGAAAATGCGCTAGGGCTCTGAAATTGATCCAATAAATATCTAAACTTAACTCATAAGATTGTCATAAGGACTAAAGGTGTCGATTCATAAGCTATTTGGAGTTAGATCATATCGTCTCTGAAATCAACTTAAATGCCTCTAGGCTTAGTCCCATAAGACTTCTACAACTCACGTGTAAGGCATCTCTACTTAAGGTGAATAGCTGTGGAAACCTTATTTCTGATTGATCCCAGTAATACCTCGAAATTTCATGAGCACGGATATCAGCTCCCTCAAAACTTGGAAACTTGGACTCCTTTTTTCAGTGCAGCAAACAGGGAGTTCCAATCTCAGGAGCAAAATCACAAAAGTGTTCGAGATTTATGCTTCAGAAATCTCGAAGTTATAGGGCATATCAGTCATAATGTCGGCCATTTTTGGATTCTGTATGTAATACCCTTAATTCGTAATGCTTCCGAAGTTGAGGTGTAGACTAAAATCCCAAGACTTAGACAAGACTTAGACTAGCACTATAAAACATGTTCCCCACGATTGACATAACAACGTGTGACGTGCATAAAATTTGTTTGGTATAATGGTCATTTGGCTTAATATTAGGTAAAATGGTACACTTGAAGCAGTTAACCGTACTCCAGGGTTGGCATGCTCATTTTTTTTTATGCAAACTGTTCTTTTGCTATTAACTTCTCACTCAGTTGATGAAACTTGGTTTTACTTTAAGCAATCGATAGAGCAGAATCATAGTTCACGCCAGTGGTGTCGCGTAATCTCGCTTTAACCAACTTTGAAAACGTTATTTAGAATAATTTTTACATTCTAATTATTTTCAAAAAGCACAGGGTCGTCTAGTTTCACTGATTTGTATTAATTGATATCTATATTGTTTTATTTGTTTACGTTTTGAGAATTGTTGAAAAAGGTAGATTGAGGTTAAGGCGACGCATTCACGCATTCACGGGTTCACGCATAGAATACTCAAATCACAATATTTGAATTCACACCAATTAGGAAATTCTGAAATGAGCAGCGATTATTTCTCTTTTCGTTTTGTGACGCAAAACTGATAACAGCTTTTCGGCATAATTTTGCGTACCTATAGAAATTAGGGATGCCAGATTTGAAGATATGGCTTAATTTCGAAGATATTTTTTCACGTTTTGAAGACATTTAATGTTTTGTGAAGATTGTTGAAGACATGTTGAAATCGAAGGAGCTTTCCGAAGGCTTTTTAATTTCAAGCAGATACTTAAAGATTTTTGCTATAGATATGATGGTTGTGACTTCAAAGTTTGAGCTCCTTCTTGATGTTGATTATGAATAATGCAAACAATGTTTTCAAAAATATGTACAGGGATATCTGAATATCTTTTAAATTCTTCATGTCATGGAGAATATCTGAGAGACGTCATTAGTAGTTTTGAATAGTTGGAGATTTACAGTATAATCAACCTATAGTCTTGAAAAAAAAATATCACGAGGACTTTACTTATATCTTCGTTTATTCGGAGATCATTTGACATACATACATTTATTTGTACAACATCACATTTAAGATAAGACATAATCAACAATAGTACGCCACAATACTCGGTTTGCGGCTGCCGCTCTCCATCCTCGGTCATGCCCAATGCTCGCTAGATCACGCTCTACCTGGTCCGCCCATCGTGCTCTCTGCGCTCCACGCCTTCTTGTGCCAACCGGATCAGTAGCGAACACCAACTTTGCAGGGTTGTTGTCCGGCATTCTTGCAACATGCCCTGCCCACCGCATCCTTCCGGCTTTGGCCACCTTCTGGATGCTGGGTTCGCCGTAGAGTGCAGCGAGCTCGTGGTTCATTCTTCGCCGCCACTCACCGTTCTCCTGCACACCGCCGAAGATCGTCCTTAGCACACGTCGCTCGAAAACTCCGAGTGCTTGCAGGTCCTCCTCGAGCATAGTCCATGTCTCGTGTCCATAGAGGACCACCGGTCTTATTAGCGTTCTGTACATGGTACATTTGGTGCGGGGGTGAATCTTTTTTGACCGTAGTTTCTTCTGGAGCCCGTAGTAGGCACGACTTCCACTGAAGATGCGCCTTCGTATTTCACGACTCACATTGTTGTCAGCCGTCATTAAGGATCCAAGGTAAACGAATTCCTCCACTACCTCGAAAGTATCCCCGTCTATCGTGACATTACTTCCTAGACGAATCCTGTCATGTTCGGTTCCGCCTACTAGCATGTGCTTTGTTTTTGACGCACTCACCACCAGTCCGACCTTTGCTGCTTCGTGTTTCAGGCGGGTGTATAGTTCTGCCACCGTTCCAAATGTTCTTGCGATAATGTCCATGTCGTCCGCAAAGCATACAAATTGACCGGATTTCGTGAAAATCGTACCCCGGCTGTTGAGCCCGGCTCGTCGCATTACACCTTCTAGAGCAATGTTGAAGAGTAGGCATGAGAGTCCGTTACCTTGTCGCAGTCCCCGGTAAGATTCGAATGAACTGGATAGTTCACCCGAAACCCTTACGCAGTTTTGCACACCGTCCATCGTTGCTTTGATCAGTCTGATCAGCTTCCCAGGAAAGCCGTTCTCATCCATGATTTTCCATAGCTCTGTGCGGTCGATACTGTCGTATGCCGCCTTAAAGTCGATGAACAAATGATGCGTTGGGACCTGGTATTCACGGCATTTCTGGAGGATTTGCCGTACGGTGAAGATTTGGTCCGTTGTCGATCGGCCGTCAATGAAGCCGGCTTGATAACTTCCCACGAACTCGGTCATTTTAGGTGATAGACGACGGAAGATGATCTGGGATAGCACTTTGTAGGCGGCATTCAAAATGGTGATCGCTCTGAAGTTCTCACATTCCAAATGGTCGCCTTTCTTGTGAATGGGGCAGATAACCCCCTCCTTCCATTCCTCCGGTAGCTGTTCTGTTTCCCAGATCCTGACTATCATTCGGTGCAGGCAGGTGGCCAACTTTTCTGGGCCCATCTTGATGAGTTCGGCTGCGACACCATCCTTACCAGCTGCTTTGTTGTTTTTGAGCTGCTGAATGGAGTCCTTAACTTCCCTCAGCGTGGGAGTTGGATCAGTTCTGTCCTCTGCTGCACTGACGTAGTCGTTTCCTCCATTGCGCTGGTCTCCCGTGCCTACGTTCTCCTCGCCATTCAGGTGCGCATCGAAGTGCTGTTTCCACCTTTCAATCACCTCATGTCCGTCCGTCAAGAGGCTCCCGTCCTTATCCTTGCACATTTCGGCTCGCGGCACGAAGCCGTTGCGGGATGCGTTGAGCTTCTGGTAGAACTTCCGTGTTTCTTGGGAACGGCACAGCAGTTCCATTTCCTCGCACTCCGCTTCTTCCAGGCGGCGTTTTTTCTCCCGAAAGATGCAGGTCTGCTGTTTCCGCTTCTGTTTATACCGTTCCACGTTCTGTCGGGTTTCATACTGCAGCATTACCGCCCGCGCTGCGTTCTTCTCCTCCAAAATCGCTCTGCACTCCTCGTCGAACCATTCATTCCGTCGACTTCTTTCTACGTACCCGATGGTGCTCTCGGCTGCGTCGGTGATGGCTGCTTTTACTGTACTCCAGCAGTCCATCGAGCTCGCCCTCCTCTGGCAACGCTGCCTCGAGATTCTGCGCGTATGCTAAGGCGACATCCGGTTGCTTCAGTCGCTCTAGGTTGTACCGTGGCGGGCGTCGGTACCGTACATTGTTGATGACGGAAAGTTTTGGGCGCAGTTTGACCATCACCAGGTAGTGGTCAGAGTCGATGTTAGCGCCACGATAGGTCCTGACGTCGATAATGTCGGAGAAGTGCCGTCCATCAATCAGAACGTGGTCGATTTGTGATTCCGTCTGCTGTGGTGATCTCCAGGTGTAACGATAGGGGAGGTGGTGTTGGAAGAAGGTGCTACGTATGGCCATGTTCTTGGAGGTGGCGAAATCGATGAGTCGTAGGCCGTTCCCGTTCGTCAGCTGGTGGGCGCTGAACTTTCCAATCGTCGGTCTGAATTCCTCCTCCTGGCCTACCTGAGCGTTTAGATCATTTCATCAGGAGATCATTTGAATATTTCCTGAATATCCTATAATTCGATCCCTGAACTTCTTCATAGTTTAAATTTTTCTTTTCAAGATCTCCTAACTCTACGAAGAACTCTGAGCATCCACAAACATGACCGATTTTCCATAAAACCCTCAAAATGTCTACGAATATTCCTGAACATCAAGGAAGTTCCCTGATATTAATCGAAGTTCATTGATTTTTTTATGTAAGATCTCTGACAACCTGCTCCAAAGTTCAGAACCTGCATCGAAGATCCCTGATGATCCTAGAAGTTTGCTGAACTTTTAGGATATCCCTAGAACTTTTTCAAAATCCCCTGCACGTCTATTAAATTGTATCTTCCTCGAATTGCTACGAAAGTTGCTCTTCACCTAATGTTCAGCGTGAATGGCAAAGGAGTTTAAACAAGCTGTCACGCGGAGGTTCACTTACCACGCCGAGCTGTTTGGGATGCTGCACCGTTGCCTGGTGCAAGCGTATAGTTTCCCTATGCTGAGTTTTATTGCTTTGATTAAGGTCGTTGGGTAAATTCTATGGAGCAAACGAGAGCGTACTGCAGATAGTAAAGATAAACAATTTCTATTGTGCGCCTATGCGTTCTCTTATTACATAGCATTGAATTAGAACTTTCATTTTCTTTGCTCTCGTGTGCATTGAGCCTGGCTAAGGGGCTGTTCATTAACTACGTAAACAGTTTAGTGTTTGTTCGAAGTTTGCTGCACTTTTAGAGAGTTTCTTGAATGCAGTTCTACGCAGTTTCCTGTCCTCTTTTTGTGTCAGCTAGGGTCAGGACTGAAATCACCTCCTCTCCTTCAGCGTAGTAGTTATTCGTTAAGTCTTTTAGATATTAATTTGTTTATATTCCGTGTGATTCTTTTGAAAATATCGTAGTTGCATATTAGCCTCTATTTTCGATATCATTCATTACTACACACACACACACAGACGCCCATTTCCTGTTGAATATCAGCTAGAATTCTCATCATACAAAACCCATTTTCTTCTCCCCCCTTCTCTCTCTGTTTATGTACTTCCTCTTCGGGTTGTTCATACATCAATCACCACCCACCATCATCACGAAATGTGTAATGCTTCCGTTTGACTGTACTGACATCGGGCGCGGGTAAGTAGCCAGGCACCCTCGACGCCAAGTCCGTCACCCTCGAATGGGCCCACCTCATCAGTAGTCACTAGTCCCGTCGGAAGCCTCAGCGTGCTACCGAACAAATCGACCCTGTTTGGTGGTGGCGGCGGCAGCAATAGCAGTTCTTCTGGTAGTCCGCAACCGCCAGCAGTGCCTCAGACGCAACCGAGCCCCAAGCCGGTGCCGAACTATGGTAAACCAAATCTGGCCCCGAAGCCTCCGGGGATGCAGCTCAACACGAGCGGCGGTAGTAACAATGGCGGCGGCGGTGGTGGTCCCAATCGGGTCTCCCGACACCACAGTATGAGAAGTCCAAGGTAGGTTCCTTTCCCCTGGGTGCACTCTATTCGTTGGTGGTTTGTTGTATGTGGTTATTAGATTGCTGGTTGTTTGTGCGCACTATTGGGTCAATGTCGTTCAGGGAAGCTACATAAGGACATCAATGCTAAGATTGTTTTTCGGTTGATTGAACAGGTCACCGCCAGTGGCACCGAGTGGTCCAAACTTTGGAGCGAATCATTTCGGAACGTTGCGAGGTCCCCCATCGAGCTTTCAATCGTCGGAGTCGTTATCTAGGCAAAACAATCCTATCGGTATGGAAGATTCAATTTTGCTATTAATCTATAATAATAAAGGACGTAATTTCTCGGTTTTATTCAGGACGACCCGCAGCGCCACCTCCGAAACCACCGGCAATGAAACCCCCACCCCCGCCTCCTATTCGCAGTGTTTCCAACACCAACCTGTCGCATTTACCCATGAGTTTGGCACCAGAGGCGCCGGAACCGAACTTCGGTTCGGCCAACAACGTGGCCAGTGCCGTCGCGGACGAGCTCAAGTCGAAGCTAGTCAACAGCGGTTCGGCGAATAATGTCGCAACGCTCACCAACACCACATCTTCCAATTCCATCGTATCGAACAGCCAGCTTAGCATTGGCAGTACGAAAACCCTCAGCAGTGGCAGTATTAAGGCGACGGCGGCCCCTCCCCTTCCACCCCATCGGACTTGTCCGGCTCCACCACCACCGGTAGGTTCATATAATTGCACTAAAATCAGTAAGCTCTCCCTGTGCTATCTTATCATTGCTCGACACATTCATGATAAGATACTATAATTAAACCATGCATATGACGAACGTTTTGCTAATTTTTCGCAATCAACAGCAACTTAACACCAGCACCAGCAGCAGTATCAGCACCGGTGAAGCACCACCGCAGCCTCCACAGCGAATTTCTTCCATTCGACTGCAGCAACAGCAGTTACAGCAACAACAGCAGCTACAGCAGCAGCAACAGTTGCTCTCCGCCAGCGCCAACAGCCCCAGCAGTACCCTCAACAGTAGTCATCACAGCTCAAATTTGCTACGAAAGGAAACCATAGCTGGGACCTCGGAGCGACGGAAGATGCCTCCCCCACTGAAGGAGATTGACCTCGAGTCCAACTACTCGTTCTACTTCCACAAGGTGACCGAATTTCCCGCACCAATACCCTTTCTCAGTGTGGCCAAAACCTTTCCGAGTAAGATGCGACCGCAACAACAACAACAACAACAGCCACATCAGTAATCAGCGCGATACGACGGGAATGTGATTCCTGCGGGAGTGGATCCCGTGTGCAAGAAAGGGGTCAGTGCAAAGGTGAGTGATTTTTAATTATGTTTGACCCACTTGGAGAATGTTTGTTGCAGAAGTTGTTAATTTCAACGGAAGTGCTGTGTAAACTGGGTAATTACAAACAGCAAGACATTCAGTTACCTCTCAATTCTGGGAGTTAATGAAACTTCCCGGAATTCATGTTGCACTAGCAGCTTTATAAGTCAGATGTCGGTCCCATAGTCGTTTTTGTCAAAATTGAGTATTTCAATGCAAATGGTAACTAATTCTAAATACCCATATCTTCATAATACGGGATGAACTCACCAACTTTGTTCTGAAAAGTTTGGAAAGACAGTCAAATCGGTTGTCCCATCACATAAGAAGCAATGGTACGAAGCAAACTTATAGCGAATTCGTTTATTATCGGGGTTAACACCAGTTCCAACCCAGTGCGAAACCGAACTTTTTGTCAGTGTGAACCTCAACTTGAGCTAGGTTTTAAAATCAAACGAGCAAACTGACGTTTGTCAGAAAACAAGCGGATCCAATCTTGATATCCGATCCAGGTTGGAACTGAATGATAAACGAATTCGCTATTAAAATGCGATTTTCTCGGCTTGCTCTGATTTTCGCTATGAGAAGGACTGTCCATATCAGTTATGGTTTTATGAGCAAATGCCGCTCTTTGCACCTCCGTCCCATAGCGAAAACAGCAAGCCGAGAAAATCGCATTAAGTTTGATTAGTACCATTGGTTCTTATGTGACGGGACAACTAATTTGGCTATCTTAGCAAATCTTTCAGAACATAGTTCCGGAGAACTTTGAGATTAGGGCGTAATTGCTTTTGTAAACAAACACGTCAATCGCCAATTTCTCGCAAATTAAAGCTCAATCTAAAAAATTAACGGCACAAACAGGTAGATAAATGATTCCTTTATCATTTAGTATGGTTTGTTCGCAATAATAAGTTTCAATTTACGATTAATCGGCGATAGACGTGTTTGTTTACAAAAGCAATTACGTCCAAATCTCAAAGTTCTCCGGAGTTGTTGAGTTGATCCAGAATTATGAAAACATGGGTGATTACCTACCATTTGCATTGAAAAATTCAGTGTTGACAAAAGCGGCTAGGGGACCGACATGCGAAGATCGGCAGTTTAGCTCCCGGAGTTAGAGCGTAGGAGTAGCGGCGAGTACCAGAGTGAAGTCCAATTTTGAGAGATCCTGAGCAGTTGTTAATGTACCAGGAGTTCTGCACTGCTTATCACCGCATCTCAGTCCCATTTGGATTTTCGCCAATTTTGCCATAACAACGCTTTTCCGCTATCAATTAACATCTATTTCATATTATGTGATAAAACTACGGACTCTGATGATGAACTATGTGAAAACAACATCAAATCAGTTTGTCCCTGTGGTACCTTGGTATATTCGGATTCCAATTCATGCACACAGTAAACGTGCTTGTTATTTGTTCGGTAGCACAGTATATTCTGAATTTATTAATTATCTTAAGCAATCTAATCGCATATCAGTCCCATTCTGAAATTCAACACTAGTGACATGGGATGTTCTCAGCCGCCCCTTTATATGAAATGCGATGCTTGATTTACGGTGGAACATTAAAATCTAATGGAATTTCAGAAACAACATGTTTCTTTGGAATGGTTTTAATCCAACAACAATGCCTATGATAATTTATCTGTTATTTTATTTCTCAATTTTCAGTACAATCCCTACAACTTGTGCGAACAAACACACACCAATCCAGCGTCGAAATATGTGCACACACACGCAAACAAGGTATTAGTCAGTTGTTGTTGGACCTTATTGTATTGAGATGTGAGAAGTAAAACAGAATATTAACAGAAAGCTACAAAGTCATATCAAAGTTTATGGTAAAAAAAAATAAAACGAACCACATAATAGACACAGAAACTCCCGTTCACAGGCACACGCATACACATTCGAAATGGCAGTATATAAGCACTATAAAATGGAACAGCAAAAATGTATATACTTCAGTAGGACTCGTTCGTTCTCAAGTGAAACTTACTACTTATGATGGCTCCGAACTCTTTCTTGGTAGGAAAGCAAAATGCAAAAAAAAACACAACCAGAGAAACACAAAATACACATTCGTATTAAAATAGAGTTACTGTATCCTCGTTACATAACATAATAAGAACGACTCAAGCGATAGTAAGAATAATAATTATATTAATAATGCAATTAACAAAAAAAAAAAAAGATGCATGCGATAGAAAGCGAGACCGAGGACAGGAGAACGAAGTTAAGCAATTTACTACAGTAACTGCAAGTAACCAATTTTTGATCCCGATCGGGTATTGCGATTCGGGTGAAAACATAAAAAAAAAATGGAAATCAGTAAATTGTTACAATTAAAGATCACTATTCTTTATTAATTTTATTGTTATTTTGTACATAATATAAATATTTAATCCTTCTTAATATTAACTGGAGATGATTTTAATCTATTAGGAAGGCGAAACATTAAGAAAACCGTGGTCAAAAACATATAGTTAAAAAGAGAGAAAAAACTCCCATGCGTCTTGCCCGGTCCTCCAGTACTGGGGAACCAGGTTTCATTCTTCCGAAATGGCCTTGCCGATCCACCAGAGGGTAAGGGAGTTTTCCGCTTCTTGTTGGGGTTTGTCTGTCTGTTGTTGTTGTTCATCGAACGAATCGTCGCTCACATTAGGATGGAACTGGCCGCTCGTTGTGGCCACAATCGGTCTGGACGGGTGGAACGAAACTCCGTTGCAGCAGTCTCGATGCAAAGGGAACTGTTTTCGAGAAATAATCAAGTGCTTATCATCATGGATGGGTTAATCAGAAGAGAGTTACTTACGTCATACTTCCGGTACGATTTGCTGACGGCATCGATATCTCTCAGATTCCAAACCCGGACGATACCGTCGGTGGTTCCTGTTCCGAGCCATTCACCGTATGGGGAAGCGTCGAAGTAAACTCGTTGATTAGTATCACAGGTCCGCTCAAGCACATGGTACGGTTTCTCTAGATTCCTAATGTCCCACAGCATCAGCTTGCTGTCCTTTCTGCCCCCGGAAGCGAATAGGTTGGTCCTGGGAATAAATCTCAGCCAAGTGACTCCGGCGTTATGGCTGCAATCTAGCGAATTATTCCCCACTGGAATGGTCTGATTCGAGTTGGTGGCTAAAGCAGTAATAGACCGGCTCCAGGATCCAAATATCAGCAGATTCGGAAGCGGAGAGCAGATCGTCATACACGAAGCAGTCACCTTTGTAGGGAACGAAGAAATTTCCCTGCCAGGAGCTTTCACGTCGAACGTCTTGATGCTTTTCTTGTATCCACCGTAGATGAATCCTCCGTCGAGGGACCATGTAAGGCTAAGTGCGGCTTCCACTTCGTCCACCGCATTGTAGCCTTTGTAGGAGCATCTCAGTTTACCCGTGTAGGCATCCCACATCTGGATGGGTTCGTGTTGTCTGGAGGCAATCCAAACGCTCGTTTCCGGCATGGAACTGTGCATTCCTGGGTACCACTTGTAGTCGTAGACCAGGGTTGTTTCGCGTACATGCACTGCAGAATCCAGAAGATTTACCGGTCGCTGTGGGGATACCTCCTGCACTCCGTACAAGTCCGATGGAAGCTCAAAAACGTGCATTCCATCGTTGTTGACCGCCGTCAGTACGCAGGAACCGTCCGGCGACCAGAGGCATCCGCGGACGTAGTTTTGCTTCGCTGCTTTATCCCACGAACAGCGACCCACTTCGTGTGCAGCAAACGACTGGAAGTAGTCCTGCTCGTATCCAGCGGATTGTGTTTCGGATTGATCATCGATTTGAGCAGTCTCGACATTTTCCATAAACATATCTTCGATTGCTTCGGTGCTTTGCTCATCAACCATCTTGGTTACTGCCATCGATTCATCTTCTTTCTCTTCCTCCAAAAGCACGTCCTCATCCATCATTGCCGGAGATTGGGACTGCACACCAAGATCGACCGGGTCTTCATTCAACAAGTTGTCCTCGATCACATCCTGATCCAGCTGTTGTTCTCCAATCATTACCATCGATTCCTGGCTTTGAGCGGTACTCACTTCGTCCATCTTGGTCACTTCCGGACCTGCTGGCGCCACCGTGTCATCGCGGCTTTCGTCTTCGGAAGGACGCTTAGTTACACTGGAATCCGACGACATGCTCTTGATGGTACCGGATTGTTTACTAACCTCTTTCGCAATAAGGTTGAATCTACCCCTGAATTTAGGCAGCGGAATTACAATCCACCAAAGTGATCATGCTCGGATTCACTGTTCAAATTGTTCAGTCTACTTATAACTCCGTGGAGTATTTTTTATGTCTCAAAGCTACTGAACAATTTCGTCAATTATTGAAACAAATTAAACGGGATTGAAACTGTTTTTCATTGAACTTTTCCTTGATTCCATTTCTCGTTTTCGGTGGGTGGTGCTGCTGCGTTAGTTGCGTTACAGTCAGCTGTAAACAATCCTTCGACTCGGCGCTTGATGCCGATGATGCTCGCGAGCTGACAGCGAGAAACGTCAAATTTCCATCATCGTCATCGCTTGTTTTGGTGGTTTGTGTTGTGATTTTCCTCCCGTTCGCTGGTCTGGTCGGTGTGTGATTAAAATTTTCTTGTGTGCTCTGCTGCTTCAGTGGACGACGGACAGGTGAAAGTGTTCTGTTGTGTGATTCTGAAAGAAAATTCCCGGTGAAGCTGTGATCTTGTGCGGAAATATGGCCAGCCGAATTTGCCAACTATCGCGCGTTGTGCTGCGCGGACAGCAGCAACTGAAGCAGATTACTCTGCTCGAATCGCGAGCCCTGGCCACCACTGCCAAGGTAAGCTACCTCTTTTTGTTTTTTTTTCATTAGCTTAGATAAAAGAATCGGAAGAAAATTACATAACCCCCGCGGAATCTTTGGATAATCCAACATCTATTGTTTATAACTTTGCAATAATTGCCTTTTTCATTGTTTTACTATGAGTTTCGACTTTGCACCGCTTGAGGGAGTTGCCCAATAGCCCTTACTTCGCTTTTTATTGTGTCCTTTTCCCTGTAGAATAAGGTTGTGCAAAAATGTGTGATACTGATAAGAGTCATGTCGCCCTTGAAACCCGGCGAAATGGATCTCCAGAGAAGAAGAAAATGAAGTTGGTTAGTACTAAGATTTTCAATGCATGGAAATTATTGAAGTTCAAGTTAAAATGTATTAATTTATAGAATTCATTGTCGGCGAAACATTGTATTTAGGTTATGTGAGCGTCGCGCTTGGGCTTTATTATGTCACTCTGTTTATATCCATCCTCCCATAAGATCGGGGTAAGACGTCTTGTTGGTTTCTTTAGGGGCATTGGGGTTTATATACAGATTCGTAATCTGCATTAGAAATGCATAATCAATTTTGATGCTCAGGTGCTTGATATTTTACAAAATTTCGATTATACTTATAGGCGAAAATCACCATCTGAGCACAGCCCTCGCTCTTAATTCAAGCTTTTGAAGCTCGTTGAAAAATCGAGATAAATGTTTTTTTTTAAATTAAAGGACCCAAAGTAAGTCCGTAAAGTACCGAAGTCCGCTGTACACCTTCAAATTATATATACTAATACGAGATATGAGCTAATCTGGGTGCCTCGTTGGTATTATAATCATCGAAAAAATCTGGGGGGGGGGGGGAGGGGCTCAACAATTATCTACGCCAATGGCTATGAGACCCAAATTACCAATAAGATTCATTAAGGAAGTAAGCTCCAAGTTCAAAGAGTCACAGAATTCTGTTGATTCAGTGATATTCGACTCCTCGTATGATCTTCATAGTCATGGATTTAAGAGTTATAAGCTACAAAATAAATTTGGACGGTGCAAGATTGGATTAAGGTTTGAAGTCTTGTACTTGAAAGTAATTTGAGATCTAGGAATAAATTTTTGAAACAAGATCTTCAAGAGTCTGTGACATATTTGAATCTCAGAATCTCATTGAAAAAAATTGGAGAAATTTCCAAGCTTCTGAAACAAGCATATATTTTAAGTCTAATATTAGAGCATTTCCCCGGTAAAATAGTAATGGACGAACATAATAATGTCTGCAGCAGTTATTCAGCCTTTCTGTCCAAACGCACTTGAAGTCATACGAACCCTCACCTAAGACACCCAGATATGTCCTACCGAAATAATCCTAAAACAGCCTAAACAAAGAGCACTTCATCATTCTCAAAGCCTTCAGACTTGTTCCTGAAATTCCCCAGACCAACCTTATCACCCAGAACAAGTCCATTTAGTCCTCCGAACTCCCTCTAGACTTACGCACAAATTTCGTGCCAAAATGAAATAAAGTATAAATCTAGATAGAGCTGGAATTAGAGCGTAACAGCCTTAGTAAACAATGACTTTTAAAGATGATTTCTAGGAACTCAAGGCATGCCCACGTAAACCATCATAACCGTCGGGTAGGGGAAGTCGTCCCCTACCCGATGGTGTAGTTGATTTGCGTTGGCGAGCCTTAACTTTCTAGAAATCATCGAAAGAAGTCATTGTTTACAAAAGCTGTATGCCCTAATTCCAGCTCTACCTAGAAATACGAAACAAATTTCACACACATAAACTGTTGTAATTTATTTGCGTTGCATTTGTATCGGAGTAATTTTTAGATTGTATACTGGCAACTGCCTGAACTTTCTGATTCCTTAAGGAAACTATTTGGGAGTGAACGGATTTCCAATCAAAGTTCAGAACAGGAAAAGCATGAAAATTACCATCGTCGGCCACGCCCATCTTCTCCGTTGCGGGGAAAGGAAGGATATTGTTGATGTAACATCTACTTAACGGGAGGCCAGCGACTCACCGACGCCCCCATAGATGCTACGGAGTTGGATAGTTGGGTCAGGATTCGCTTTAGCTGTCCTAAGTAACATGGATCGATTCTCTTCGTCGACTTTCTCTTTCGTTAATAACTTGAGCAGATAACCGTTTCTTGTTATGTTTTTCATATTACATGTTAGATAAACGCGTTTTTTATCGATCTGTTTGCTGAAAATAGCTGGGAATGGGGATACAAAGAGAAAGTCGAAGAAGAGAATCCGTCAATGTTACTTAGAACCTAATGCAACGTTCAGCTTGAATTGTTTTGTTTTGGAGGAGTTTGTTTGTAAACTTACGATCTTCTACTCAATAAGCAAAAGCGCAGGGTTTCGACTACCTGAAAAATCAGGGAATTCATTTTTGGACCTGGAAAATCAGGGAATTTCATTCAAATTCAGGAAAATATTTCTTAATCTCAGAAGTTTGACAAACTTTGCTAGTTTCAAACAACTTGATTACTCGGTGTAGTTTGAAGATGGTTGTTCATTTCAAATTTTAAATAGAGTTGTGAATTTGTGGTTGCTCAATGCTTGATGTTACAGTTTTGCAAGTTGAGCCAGAATTACTCAAATAAAAGGGTATTTTGATGATTTTTCACATTCCTGAGTTGAACGGAGATCCTGAGGGTTGATAAAAATCCATTTCCGTAGACACTAAACATTGTTAGTTGTTGCAAAATTTAACCTCCAAATTTGTATGTCTTGGTCTCTTGTAGATGTTACACCTAATTGCGTCTGACTTAGATCCTTTGGGCGCATTGGAGCGCTTTTGAGTAAATTCAAGAATGGTGAAGAGTTAAGATAAGAGGATGATTTTTTTCTGAACACTTGTAGTTCCTGTTCCTTATTGTGTTCTAAACAGCTTGATTAGCTCAGAGAATAAATTAAATTAATATTTAGGATAATGGTCTTGCTTGGGTGGATTTTTGTCTTTGATGCTTGAAGTAGCACTTTTATGATTAAAATATGATTCAAAGAAACGTAGACAAGCATTGCCTCGACAGCATAGGTTGGATTGATTGAGTATTCTAGGTCTTCATTGTAAATCTGATTAGCTTAAAAAATAAGCTTCTCAGTGAATGGCTAGGTGAATGGTGAAAGCGCTGTTTTTACGATTTCCCACCATAGGAATCTGGCCGCAAATTAGTGTTTGGTTAAGCGTATTAACCGGAATAATTTTCTCGCGGAGCTGGGTCTCAAATTTTGCTCAAGGGATTAAAGACAAGTGTTTCATATGTAAGATGTAGGAGAACTGGTGAATTTTTGCCCCTAGTATTGAGTTCAGAAACAGTCAGAAAAGAACATCTAAGCTGGGTTGAAAAAGTTCACGATATTTCGCGAAGTTCAACAAGGTAAAAGTTTGCGAGTCATAGTGAATTTTGGTGCATATTTTCATCTTTGCTTCTAAGGGTGAGAAAATCGTCATGCCAAGGATCTCTTCTCATATCATGGAATAAATCGAGCAAACTTGTTGAAAATTTTAAGCGATTAAGCAAGACTTGTTTGTCGATTGATATCGAGATGGTTGCAGTTTCCTTCGTTATTAATTATGGCGCTTACCGCAATTACAATTTTTGAATTTAGAAAAATGTGGTGCCGTTCCGTTTTTGACAACCGCGATTTCTGTCTTTTTATTGCACTCTATAAAATGTATCGAACGCTTTATTCAATTTGAAATTGTACTGGATCACTCTTCATGTGGTATCTCATGAACAAATGTCCAGAAAGCACTACCCATGTAACAATTTTGGATGCAGACTAGCTGATACAACCGAAAAATTATGCATCTAATTTGTGCCTGTATAGGTTGGTCTGCAGCTAGAACTGTATGTTGGGTAATACATATCTGATGAAAGTAGTAGCTGATGAGATCGTGTTAACAAAACCATGTAGACACTGCAACTGGAATTTGATTGAAAATTACTGGAAAATCAGGGACCCATCAGGGAATTTTGTGTTCTTCATTGAGTCGACACAAAAAGGAAGCATCTCACCTGAATGATCCAATTTACTGCAGCCATGTGTGATAAACACTCTTGAAAGGATATGCACTTTGGGGGGCCACTTGGCCAGTTCTGAGGATTACTCCAATGACGGTCGATAGTCGTGAAGATTAATATACACTCCCGACGATGTATATTAGGGTGTCCCAAAAGGGCACTATGTCTGAAAATCTGGGGGGTCACCCTCCAAATGATAGCTAAGGGTGTTACAAACAAACTTTTGTATCGCGGCAACTCTGGGAAATGTTGTTTAGAGGTCGCCCCGACGAAATTTTTGAAAAAAGTCCATTTTTCATTGCTATTATCCAATAAATATTTTTAGTTCTTTAAATTTTAGTGAAATCTCACCCTTTTATATTTTTTACAGATTCCCAAGGGTCAAAACTATAAGAGAAAAAAATGCTACGGCATATTCTGTGTCCAATTTGTTAGTTACAATTTTTCAAATTCTCTAAAATGATGTTTTTTGTTGTACATTACTGCATTCAATCATCAAAAGTGGGTATCAAACATAGCGCTATTATCAATCAATTGCAACAGAAATATGGGAAATTTTATAAGCAAAAACTTTGCCCAAGACACTTTAACCTCATTTTTAACCGTTAAAAAGTTATTCGTGATTTACTGTGGAAAGAAAAGTTAAAAATTACAATACTTGCAGTATGTCCACCAGCAAATCAAACTATCATTGAAATCGATAAATACAAATCACCTAATTTGTTTCAAATCACTTGATAACATTTGTTTCGAAGTTTCTAGAATTTAATAGGAGGATATATGAGCGGAGAGGGATCACACAATTTATTAGTTTCCATTTTATTGCCGTAGCAAGCAGAACCAAAAAAGAAAATCATGTCACCAAAAACCAACCTCAAGTCGGATCTCATCACCGGTATTGCGAGGAAGCATTTGCCCAGAAACCGTTTGTCGTCGGAGTTGGACATCATCAGGTACTTTCGATTCAAGCATGAAACCCA